GCGAGCGTAGGTCTGCTCGTTGACGCGCATGTTGACTGGTAGTTGATGGTCTTTCCTCAAGGACTGGTGATAAGTATGATGCAAGCGGTGACGACGCTTCTTGTCGTCGTAGAATTGGGCAATGATGCGGAACGTGACACTTTTGATGCCCTTTCGATGGTTCACGTCAAGCTCGGCAAAATTACGGAGGGCCTCGGGGCTCGTGAACGTGAAGGAATTATGACCCCACAGAATGCGGGTTCCTTCCGTGTGCATGGCTCTGCAGGTGGCGAGAAAATGAATGGCGATCTGGTTCCCACGTGCCTTCTCTTCGGCGGTGACGGTGTCCGGCCTCAGCTTGGAGAGGGGGTCAAAGATCGAGAGGGGCGCTGTGAGTGCATACTTGAGTATGCGAAGCAGAACCTCAGTAGGCAGATATGGGTTCGTCGGGGCGGCGGCGAGAGAGCGGCGGCGGGTCATGCGCCCCGAGTTTCCATGCTTCACGGCATGAATGTGAGCTGTGGCAATGGGCGACCATGTAATGCCGTTTTCTCTGAGCAGTCGCTTGAGTCTGAGGTTCTCATCGGCCAGTATGCGGTGCTTCTGGCGGAGAGGCTGGTTGTAATAAGCTTCGGCCGTATCCTCCTTGTCCTGGGTCTCCCACGGATCGACATCCTAGGTCGAGTCAGCAAGTGCGAGCACAAAGAGGTAGGAGACAGAGCGGCAACATACCACGAAGTCCGAGTTACGTGTCATAACGTCTGGCCGAGGCGGGCAAGGCCGGCGATGGTGAACGGTCGAGCTGCAGTCGAGACGAGGGTTGGTAGCGCAGATCCTCCCCGAGAATGAGTGCTCCCAGATTGCCTCAGCCCGCTGGTCGGTCAGTTGGATCCGTCTTGACGACGTGAAATGGGAGGCAGGCGCGTTCCCAAGTATCCGGGTATCGAGGTGAGAGAGAAGCTGAGAGAACTGATGCTGATTCAATGAATCAAGGTGCAGATGTGACTGCCCGTTGGAGCAGCAGCAGCAGCCAGGTTGCAGGGCTGACACGAAGCAAGACCTCTCAGTCTCTAGATTGCACTGTGAAAGGCAGGCACGATGTCTTGTTGTGAGGAATGACGATGAGTCGATTGGCAGTCGTGAGAGAAGCTGGACGATACGTAGATAAGAGGTACGTCCCTCAGTACGTCCCTCGGACCGTCTGCTACTCGGCAGCGTTGGCGACTGTCAGACTAGAAGGACAAGGGCC